AATTTTTCCACTATTAAAAAAACTTGTTTAACCACAGTCAAACTTTGTCTGATGACGCCTCTTGGATGAGAGGTGAAACGTCTTCGACCTAGAAATCTAAGTCCAGTTGATTTTTTTCTAAGTTTTTTTCAATGTTTCACTTTACAATTTAATTTATGCTGTGGTGATGATAATGAGGCAGCAGCTAAATTAAATTATTGACACCTCCTTTACAGTAACAAGCATGGTAACCTTTAGTGAGTTAACTTGAAAACAGGCTACTGCTGAGACAACAGTATTGCCCGGTCAATATTCACCTGATTAATTAAAGAATAACTTTGCTGCCATTCATATGACCCTTATCAATAAGGAAGCACTGTCTGCTTCTACCTCAGACTGGGAAACCACATGACAATCACCTGGTAATAAAACACCTAAAACTGTACTTTAGCAGTGTTATAATCCGGCAACACCTACTGTAAACCTACTTCATCAATTTATTTGTTTACCTTACAGATGAGCTTATGCCACAAAGAAGGCAGAAACAAATCACCGAGCAGTGTCACAGTGAGGTCATTAAAGTTGAAGTCAAAGTTTTTAATCCATCACCGCTGTTGTATGCACCATACAAAGGAACACGTGACTTACAGTACTGTTCCTTATACAGGCTTTTCTAGAAGGCGCTTACTGAAATATTTTACCTTTGCTGACAGAAAGTAGGAGATTGGGATCCCTCGGGTGAAACTTGAGTTCATTGATGGCATTCCCATGGCCTACATAATGCTGGATTTAAAAATAAAGAGAATGGTAAGAGGTTGTAAATGTGGACATGATCTTGACTTCATTATCCTCAGCAATGAACATCAGATTTATTACAACTTAATCCAAAAATGTGCTACACAGGTTCATAGTAAACACACAGATCAGGATGCCTAAAAATTAAAGAAGTCTTCTGACAAGGCATTCATTATGAGATAACAGATGAAGTGTACCTTGATGCACTGCATTGTGATGTGGTTGATCACTCGAATAATACCACGGGACCCGGCTACAGCCAGCAGTGGATGACTTGTGTTGGTGTCATAGGTCCAGGCACATGTATAGAAGTTCTCATCTGCCTTTGCACACACTTAGTCAAAGAAATTGAAATGAAAATGTCCCAGTAATCTTTAAATTAGTCTTTCCTTAAGGAAGTCTGAGTCATCCCTGTTCTGAAACATGCAGAACACAACCTCCAGTTGCAGCCTTCTGTCTGTCACTGCTCTATGGGACCAACTAAGAGTTTGGAGTTTTGCTCAGAAGCTGAAAGGGAAGGGGGCTATATTATATCCAACTACATTGTTCCTAGTTGACTAGGGTCTATACCATTGACCCTGTCCTAAACTTCACAGATGCTCTCATAACTCAACTGTGACAGAATCTCACATCAAATGTATGAGATGAAAGCTTGATTGTGCATCTCCATAATACTTAAAATACATTTTACTGTGCCATTTTTCTGCTGTCAGCCAATTTGTTTGTTTTACCTTATTCAAACAGTTGCAAGATAATGCAAACTTTTCATGAGCTATGAGCTTATCTTAATCTAAACAGTTTTAGTTTAGCTCAGGTGAAAAAGAATTAAATATATCTTTTGGTGTTTGTCATGTAGACTATATGACAGAAGCTGGAAAACAAGGTCAGTTGGAACTGGAAACCAGGACATAATGACAACTGACACAAGGAAGGAACCAAGTGAAAGGATACGTCTGCATCTACATAAGACTGTAAAAGTCTTATTTCTCCCTGAGAGTGACATTCATACAGAGTAACCTGAGGGAGAAAAGACACAGCTACATAGGTATGGAACAAGACAACAATACACAACAAACAAAAGATGCTTTTTTTAAGCAAAAGAAAGATTAGTCACAACATGTGTAGCTGCATAGTGTGCTGAATCATTACATTTATTGATGTATATATAATCTGAAATGCATTAAAAGCCACAAAATACCTCCCATAATTCTGCAATATGAATGCTTTAAACGTCCAACGAGTGTAGTCCAACAACAAACAGGCAAAATCAAGAAATGGTCCCACTTTGAATAACTACATGAATCCTTATCATTCAAACACATCATCATCACATACCCTGTTACTCCCAACTGTGGCAAACACCAGAGGGTCTCCCTCCTTGCTGTGCCAGTTAAATTGGACTCCAAACAGTGGCTGGCCATGGTCCTCCTGTGAAAACCATTACATCATTATCAGCACATTCAAAGGGTGACATGAACCCAGCTATTTTGTTGGGTAATCACATGTCACTCCAATGAAAACATGTACTGATAGTCCAACTGTTAAATATTTTAGATGAACCACCATTCAAACAGGAGTTTGAATGGTGCTGAATACCATTCATGTTCCTCAAAGTCATGGATTTATACATACTCCAGCTTATTACAGCTGAAAGGAAATGTACTACTTGCTGTATAGACTTTGGAAAATAAAAAACATACTGTGGTTGTAATTCTGATGTGATAAAAAAAAAAAAAAAAATCTACAAAATAAAATTTGGTTCAGGGTGATGGATGCTCTTACCCTCAGGCTGTTGACACATTTAAATGAATATCTGCACTTCTTGGATTTCCACTTGCCCTTGCCCCAGCTCTTCCTGCCTGGGGCGTTGGCAGTGTTAGTGGGTGTGTCTGGGCGCTCTGCATTGGTCCCACTCTCAACACTGACAGCATCATCCTACAAAAGGCAAAAATATATACATGATGTACTGTATATGTTCGTTCCTAAAGATTTACATTGCAGAAACAAGTCTGTGTTGACTGATTATTTTCATAAAAGGCAAAGTAGCTATAAAAAGCTACCAGATCTGTAGCTCTTTGCACATTCTCTCGACATATTACTAATGAGTGTCAAGCAACAGCGCACACAGCCCAAGTTATACTGTGCATTGGTATGATAATGTACAGCATTATTTCAAGTTTCACCAAATAGTTACTTAACGTCCACGAGCACTAACTTTGAAGGACATTCTTGTACAAAACAGCGAACACAAAATAACTAAGGTAAGCTTAGGTTTATATACAACTCAAAAGAGCTCTCTAATTATCAAAGTTAACGTTACCTTCCATGTTGGTTATAACAGTGTACTCAACTTTAAACCAGTTTTATAACATACCCCAAACTTATGCCTCTCTAAACCTTAACTGATCAGCAAACATAAATTAATTGTGCAATTTAGTAGAAACTAACATCAACCTTTTCCATTCTTAACTATGGTGGCTGCTAGTGTTAATGCTAGCTTCAGTTTACACGTGAATGAATGTAGACTGCGGCCAAAGAAAGCGACATTTGTGTGTCGACATAAAAGACAGAGGCAGCGAGTGTAAGTTTCTTTCTGTGGCATATGTTTTAGCCATAACAAAAAAAGGTTTGTAGCTAATTTTATCAGGGCTAAATTTGATCAGCTGTCTGAATTCAGCCGGTATGCATGGACAAAGCTGCTAGCTAGCTGCTTTAGCTATTCGGCTACCTTAGCACACTGCTGCTTCGTTGAGAGGTAATCGTGGGTCACTTATCGTCGAAGAAAGAACACTGTTTAACTACTTACATTCTCATCTCCTGATAAATCAGGGTTACTGTTCTCGTCACTGCTGTGTTTTTGTTTTTTCGCAGGTATTTCTTTTCCCGCTTGTGAAGGGGACTCAGATGGGTTCTTATTTTCCCTCATTTTGGTTCCAACTCCGCCTCTTCCGCTTCACCACCGCATGTGCTGTTGGGTAGGGTAGTTTGATTGGAGCTCAGGTCGTACCCCACAAGTAGTTCAACTAAAATCGATCAAATAATGGAAACCTATCAAATATTTGTTGAGTTCTTTAACGCTTTGGATAGTTCGTGTATTAGCGCTTTGTATTATCTTAAACATTTTATACAATAAGCTATGACTGAAAAACCAAATTATGAAAACGTTTAGTTAGAGCCCTAGAAATTGTAGTTGTGATCCACAATCAAACTCAAAAAGCATACATATTTACATATGGATTTAATTAAAAACAGTTTACAATCCTAATATTTTCTCAAGTACACACAAAAATGTTTGCTTTTACAGTCCAGAATCATCCTTCTCTCTTTGTGGAGATGCCTGCCAGATTGATAAAATGAGGAAGCCTCAGGACACTGCCTACATCATCATCTCGGCATCCTCCAAGGAGGCTTCGCTCATCTCTTCAGACAGCTCTTCCCTATCATCCTTCTCTTCCCCCTGGTCCTCCTCAGCTGGTCTCTTTACACCCCTCTGCTTTGAAAGAGCCACTGCATAACGAATGTTGTACATGTTGAAGTCACACCTGTACAGAGAAAAACACATTTACAGTTACTGACTTGGTTTGAATGTAGCTATAGGGGTTCAGTTAGGCCACTACTATAACTAAAGACAGTCAAGGAACAGAAACAGGGAACTATAAAGAAAAAAAATAAGAAAAAAATGCACAAGGTGAAGGAAAGTAGAACAAGATTGTTTCAACAAGACAATGACCCCAAACACACTAGTAAACGAGCAAAGTCTTGGTTCCAAACCAACAAAATTAATGTTATGGAGTGGCCAGCCCAATCCCCGGACCTTAATCCAATCGAGAACTTGTGGGGTGATATCAAAAATGCTGTTTCTGAAGCAAAACCAAGAAATGTAAATGAATTGTGGAATGTTGTTAAAGAATCATGGAGTGTAATAACAGCTGAAAGGTGCCACAAGTTGGTTGACTCCATGCCACACAGATGTGAAGCAGTTATAACAAACTGTGGTCATACAACTAAATATTAGTTTAGTGATTCACAGGATTGCTAAATCCTAGAAACAAAAACGTTTGTACAACATAGTTTTGTGTTTGTACAGTCAACGGCAGACACTGCTATTTTTTTGAACACACCCCTTTCAACTAATTGCCCAATTTCACAGCCTTAAGAGCGTGCATATCATGAATGCTGGGTCTTGTTTGCTTTCTGAGAATCTACTGCACCTACTGGTAACTTGTTTGCCATGTAGCAATAAAAAATATACTAAAAACCTGGATTATTCTGGTTAGTCACATTGTACTGCTATTATTTTGAACAATACTGTACATAATTTTGGTGGCTTTGGTGTCATTATATTACATATTCAGTTTTTTGCTGTGAATAATCTCCTTTCTATTTGTCTTAATTTGGCTCAGTGTGAGAGAGTATGACTTAATGCTACCTAGCTGTTGAGACTTACAGTTTGGACAGATTATCAAAGTGTCTCTGGATGCTCTTCTGCAGCGCCTGCAGGGTAGGTAGTATGGCTCCTGACCTGCACACCACAGGAAACAGGTACAGTCACTCAGAAATATATTAACATACAGTACAGTAAATGTATTGAAATGTTAGTATTAAATCCAGTAAATGACAAAGAAGACATATCTATTTTGTCAGCTAGTGCTTACTGGCCAAATGCTTGATTGTTTACGTAAAACGATGCAGCACATTCCTTATATCTTGTACCACATTAAAAAAAACAAACTCATAAAAACTGTTATAAGGGTCTGGGAGCAGACCTGTTTTTGAGTTTCTGGCCATGCAGCATCAGCAGGTTCTGGGCCCAGGTCATGTAGAACTGTAGGTGACCTGACTTCTCCAAACACGCAGCCACAAAGCCCAACAGCTTTTCAACATAAATGTCAGGAAGAGAACCACAAACCACTGGTACTGCAACACAAGCACACAAAATCCATATCATTCAGTAGTAAAGTCATGGTCAGTTATTTGAAAAATCCAAGAAGAGAGTGTAAATACAAAGAGCAAATGAGCAACATTATTTTACATTTAACAACATTACTACCTTTAAATCATAATTAGATTGGTGTTATCTACCTTTAAAATTACTGCTGCTGCATTGTAAAGATGAATGAATCAGGATGGTTCACTCACTCTGCTCATGCGGCACTGTCTCTAGCACTTCCTGCTTGAGGGCTGTTTCATTGAGTCTGAACGCCAGGACGATAGCCGACACCCACTCCTGACGTCGTAGCTGCTTGCGTATGCTGGCCGGTGTCACATCCAAGTCAAGGTCATAAGGGTCAAAGACCAGAGATCCATCAAGGGAGTAAATTAGCAGGCCCTCAGTAGTGGTGGCCGCCCAGCTACGACCTGAGAGAACATGGACCCAAGTACAATTTAAATGCATGCATTTAACACTTACTGTACTTTCCGGACTATAAGCAGCTACTTTTGTCGCTTCATGCACACACCCTCATCATTCAAGTTATAGGTGATCGATCTAGCTGTCGAAATATCTCATGTTACAACGTGGACACCTGCGGCTATGTACAACATGTTTTTTTTATCTTACATTTAGTGGGTGTGGCTTATAGTCCAGAAATTATGGTAAGAATTTCCAGCGAAGGCTGTTTTGGTTGGTGCACATTATCATAAGAGCTGCTGGGTATTATTAAACAATAATATTAAAGTATGGCTGTGAATCAAAAACTTCAACATTGCTGTGCTAAAGAATGAAAGACCAAAAACTCATTTTTTGCATGATTAAATGTTCAAAAATACCAAGTCAGTATCAAATATTTCCCAAACTAAAAGGAAAACTGTTCAATTGTTTTTTTCTTAGGTTGCAGATACTGCTGATTAACTGCTGTGGTAAGGAAAAAATACATTCACTTAAGATTGTGTAACTTACCAGTAGGTGAAAAGCGCAGTGAGCTGACTCTGATCTCTGGCTTGAAGTGTCGGGAACTCATATCACCTTTGAATCAGAACACAGAGAAAACTGCATGAGTATGATGGATAAGTCAGGCACAAACTGAAAATGAGGAAACAAACAACAAAAACAATAATGATAAGGATAATACAATAAGGATATAAAAACTGACTTTAACTGACCATTTTGATGAAAATGCACCAGTTAATGTGGAAAATGAATCAGTTATTAAATCTCCAAAGTGAATTTTTAGCAAACAAAGCACTGCCATCTGGTTAAAAAAGATAAAACACCAAACCCTTGACGATGTTAGTTTGAGGAAAATACATTTTCAAGATTCCCAGTCTTTTCAAGAAATACTTTCCCAAGACATTTCCAATGATATATGTCAAATGGGGATCAAGTCCTATTTTCCCTGTAATTTCTAAATGAATTTGTGTAGGTTTATTGACAATGGACACTGGAGATAACAATATCCTCGGCAAGTGCCTACAGAAGTTGGGTTTTATGTTCATGAGTTAAGATTTGGACTAATTATATCCACAAAAGGCATATTATTTTTGACTCCAATTCAACTCTGGAATACACTTGACCCTTAAATCTACCATGATCTACCAGAAAGGCTCTTCGCTTGGGCCTGCTGAATGTTCATTTCTATTATTCACTGTATTATGTTATAGCTAGCCAACCAGCCGACTAACATTAAACAATAATTCTGCAAGTGGCACAGTAATAAATCTTAATCACGTGACTTATGATATTCAGAGCGTAAAAAAACATTACTAAAAACAGGCCATAAACCTCTGCCCTTGCCATTCTAAGTTTATCTTACACATTGCTCTAATTTCAGCTGCCAGCTCATACTGATCTCTGACAATGAAAATACAAAAATTATTTTCTAGGATGATGAAGTGTTTTCCCAGGAAATAGTTCCATTTATCTAATTTTCAATGACTTTTCCATGACTGGAAAAATGGCTTAAAAAATTCCACGTTTTCCATGAGATGAGATATTCTTATACTTGACAATAAATGGTCTGAGTGTTGAAGGCAGCATCATACCTCTCCTGACTCCAGGGAGGCTGATGTTGACCCCATCTCCGTCCCCAGCTCCATCGTCCACCAGAGCCAGGCTGCCAAACTCTGTCATCTTTCGTCGGTCCAGGAATTCCTGGAAAACAGAACCACAACATGACTCAGATTACAGGGCTCTGATATGAGCTTTGTGTATTACATTCAATTACCTTTCTTCTGCTAAAACAAATCCCTGTTCAATTCCAACATCATAGACTTTATGTATGACTGAAAACTATTTTTCTTCCTTCTTAAATCAGATTATTTAATGAACTACCAAGCTATATTTTGCTTCATGCTGACATGTGTCAAGAAAACAGTTGTGTTTGTGTATTTGACAGTAACAACAGGTCCCTCTGAACAGAGTTTAGGACTCTGTTATGTGCTGTGACTGAGTCAGGTTTGAGGCCGTACCTCCATGGCATCAAAGGACAGGTTGCAGGAGATTTCAAACTTCTTCATGAGCATCTGCTCCTTGACGTTGTAAATGCAGACAAACTTGGACTGACCTCCTGCCAAAACAGACTCTCCATCGGCAGAATAACACAGTGATGTGAAGGATCTTGATGATGACAAAACAAAACATGAATTACAACCTGATTCAATGTTCTATCACAAATGCCACATTATGCTATTGTAATAAACTGGACATGATAGTATCCCCAGGCCTCAGTTCTTTCACTCACTTGCCCTTGGCCGACTGCTTGGCTGTGATTTTATCAGTTTCTTTTCGGCCCATCTCCAGGTCATGACGGCCAGCCACAGAGCCAGTTTGTGTGGCCGTATGGGGGTTCCAGAAAGAGATCTCACCATTCAGGGTGGCCACTGCCAACTCCTGACCATCAGGGCGGTAAGTCACTGATAATCCTAAAACAAACAAAAAAAAACACACACACACACACACACACACACTGACTGTGATCAGAGCTACTCAGGATTATCTAATGTAAATATATGCACATTTTAAAGACTTTATGTTTGAGTGGATCTGAAGATTTCTGTCAACAATGGAGGACAGTGGGAAACGATACTGGGTATGCTGTAATAGTAATACACCAAAATGTTAGGGTCTTGAATATCTCAAAATAATTTTATATTTTCCTTTCATACTTTCTCGATATGAACTGGAATGATGGGAATGAACGTCCAATTTAAAATAGATTTTCAGCACTGTTTAAAGCCAACAGAGGTAGAATTTAAAACCAGACAGCATTGAATGATCTAAAACACCTAATAGCCAGATTACATTAGTGATGAAGCAGGCATAGTCCAGCCAGTCCTTATTTACCATCAGAGGTGAGAGGAAGTGTTTCCTTGGTCTGCCAGCTGTCCAACATGTCCCACAGCCGGACAGTACGATCCCATGAGGCGCTGGCCAGGATGGACTGAACTGGACTGAAACACAGGCAGCTGACTGGCCCCTCATGGCCCCCAAGGACCTAGTCAATCATAGTGCAGCTGTTTAACTCATTGTCGTGTAAGTTATAAATGACAGGTTCCTCATGATAGGAGCATCAGTAAAATGATTCTGCATCAGTATGTGTGTACCTCCAGCAGTCTGCCTGTCTGCATGGACCAGAGGAAGATCTCAAAGGAGTCCTGAGCTCCTGCACTGACCAGCTCTCCACTGACATCTACTGCAAGGGAGGAGAACTGAGCAGGGCGAGGTGATGTGAATGTCCGGAAGTTTCGGTACCTACAAATGCACACAAACATATTCAGACATGAACTATAAGACAACCACAAATCCCACAACAGATTCTTAAGTATATAATCACTTCACTTCCCTCTCTGTCTGTATTTGCTCACTGTCCATCTCTATAAATGTTGAACATGAACCAGCTTCACCCTTAAGTTCACCTGTGCAAGTCGAACGCTCTGACCGTCCCGTCCAGAGAAGCACTTACGATGACGAAGCCACTGGAAGTGAAGGTGACGTTGGCAATGCTGCTGGTGTGCTCCGTGAAGGTGACGAAACAGAGGCCGCTGTTAGTGTTCCACACTTTGACCTGAGAAAAATAAACGATGATTCTTTTTTTATTTTTGACATTTTTACAAGACTCTGCATCAATTTTTTTATCTAAGCCGAAATAGAGCAGGATAGCTAACACCCATTTCAGCCTGGTAACAGGTTATACGTTATGTCAGCTATTTGTAAATATGCATCCACATAAGGGCTTTTTAAAGTTTCCCCTTATAATAGTTTTCCTGCTGGTGACTTGGCTTGTTTACAGTCACACTAATTGTGGTAGGGAAAAGAACAGTGAGCTTTCATAAAAATATAGTATGTGTTAAGGCTATTATTTCACAAGCTCACATAAGAATGTGCAATGACAGTGGCCTAACAACTAGTAGTCCTAAATTTAAATCTAAAGTTTTACTCGCCCTGCTTTCCAGACCTGCATATAAATGATGAAAAATGCTGCAGTGGAAGGTGTGGAACACTCACTTTGCCATCATCACCTCCTGTTACAATGTACTGCCCGTCTGGTGAGTAAGCCAAAGAGGCCATGTTGTTGAAGTGTCCCTGCTGCTTGAAGACATACGACTCACTCTGCCACTCCCAAACCAGCAGCTGGCCCATCCCTAAAACAATCAAACAAAAATAAAATAAAATAAAATAAAGAAGAGTCTAAATGTGCACAGAGCTGCAGTGGAAACATAAAAAACTGACTTCTTACCCGAACACCCAAAGCCGATCCAGTCTCCAGAGCTGTTTAGAGCTACTGAGGTGATTCTCTGGTCTGAAATACTACAGGGCAAAACATTCAGAAGAACTTAAAAGTGAAAACAGTGTTTTGCAAAATCTCCACTGCCAAGGAGTTTAGTTCCTTTTCCAATAAAAACCTAAAACATGTATTTTCTCATCTCATTTTTACTTTTGTCTCCCAGATTCTCAGCATACTAATAAAAGCATTTGATAAATTAAACCTTTTTTCCCCACCTTAGGGAGTGGATAAGGTTAAACTCTGGAAGTTCATGCAGATGGAAGATTCCAGAGGTGAAACCTGTGACCAGGATGTGAGTCAGCTTGTGGTAGGCGGCAGCAGTCAAGTTGTTGAAGTCCCCCTCCTTGTTGAAGAAGTGTCTACATAAGCAGAAGCAAAAGGAAATAAACAAAGTTGAGCGCCAAACATGAATATGTTTCTTTTAGCCTTTATGCTGCATATTAATGTTATATTTGCCTGCTTAAATGGAAGGGCTGATGTCTTACTTGCTCCTCTGCTTGTATCGAACGTTCTTTATCTTCTTCTCTTCAGGAGCTTCAGCTTTCCCTCTGATAACCTCCCCCTCCTCTCCCTCCAACCTCTCTTCCTCATCTTCCTCCTCTTCCTCTCCCTGTCTCAAGGGCTTGGGTTTGTCACAGCTCTTCTTCAAGATGAGTCCATCCAGCTCGGTGTCGCTCTCCCATATGCACAGCGTCCCATCCTGGCTCACCGTGTACAGCTGATGACGTGGATACATTTACAGGTTTGTCCGAGTCTTTGTTTTGATGTTTTCTTTTTCATTTTCATAGCCACATATGGACTTCAAGCTTAAATCACAAGGAAGTGGAAGACAAAAGTAAACTCACATCCAAACTGTCCTTCTCAAAGAAACAGCCCACAATGACATCCTTGTGTCCACCCAGAGAGTAGTAGATGAGGTTGGCCCAGCGCTCGGCACCAAATACCCACGTTGACATGTCTTTGCTGCCCACCACAAAACACCTGAAGGAAAAAAGTCACAGAGATGATGTATTTTTTCCTCTTTTACAGGTTTCTTGTACACTTTGACATCTAATAAACTGTTACTCACTTGGAGTCGTCTGTCCAGTCAATGCAGGTAGTTTCATCGTACGGACCATAGTAGCTCTTGTCCAACACAAAGGCATTAAACTCCCGCTGCTTCCCAGGAGCATGATACATCAGAGCAACGTTCTCCTTTGTAACCACAAATTTCCTGAGGGGGAAAATAAAGTAAGTCTCTGCATCATCTTTTGCTCTAGTTGTTGTTCCTGTCCTAGAAAACAGTGTACATAAAAATGAATTTAAATCAAATTTTTAGTTATCTAGGAACCTCTTCACAATGTATAACAAACATTTTGGCAGGCCTAATGGTATGTTTCTTTCCATTTAGACTGATTCAAGGATTTTCTACATGCAGAAATTAAAGTAAACCCAGGGAAAAAAAAAAACTGAACCCATACATCTTCAAAAGAATCTGAATCGAGTGCTGTATCTTACAGATAAAACAACAACAGCCACAACCAAACATCACCCACTGGTGCTGGCTTTTCATTCAGGGGTCCAGGGCTGCTGAGCTGCTTACCTGCCATCAGGTGAGAAGCAGATACTGCTCACAGGTCGGTGAAAGTGGAAGTGATGAAGGATAGCTCGGGTGATGAGACTGACCAGCAGTGCTGCACCATCTGCATCACACGAACACAAACACAAAAGAGACACATTTGGGTTTTATGCAGCAAGACTAACGTTTGCTTCGATTCTTTTATTACCAAGGATCACACATAAAACAGTTTTAATGAGTTGAATTAAACTGCTTACCTTCATCCACCACAATTGCCAAATTTCCATCAGGAGAGAGACCCACACAAGTTATGTTCTTTGTAGTGGAGATGGGCAACGTCTCAGATGTATTGCTTCGAGACAAAGGACACTATTTTAAATTCCTGCTTTTGTTTTTATAATAATTGTAGCTCAAGATTTTAATTTTTAAAAACAATTGTTTTATTTATTTACTGATGTTCATGCCAGAAAACAAATGGCTAGAAATTCATAATCTGCCTAAAACCATGAATGAAGTGGGATATTTCCTGTCTTGCAACGGGATTCGTTGTTAAGAGATTGTGCACATCATCCAGATGTCAAATGGAGAAAGGCTGGTCTGAAACACCCAAACTATGACAACATTGACACGCTCCCAAATATTTAATTCAATTTAATTTAATTTAATTTAATTCATTATGACTTACTTTTTCAGGTCAAAGACAGAGACTCTGTTTCCAACGGGACTGATTATAGCGTTGCCATCTTTAGAGAAATTCAAATTCCCCTGACGATAGACTGCTCCGAGCAGATTGGAAAACTGCAAAGAAAACACGTTTTCGTTTAATCACTCATAAGTTTCTGCTTGTGTGCAGCAAACGAACAGCACGCCAAACTTAATTACAAAAGGTATGAATTCAACAGTCTGGTGCCAACATGCAGATACAGATCAATTCAATGAGTTTTAACAGTTGATATAAAATGATTTGGTAAACCGAGGCCTTCAGTGAAATGTCAATTCGCTGGTCCATCAATAGCGTTAGAGAAGTGGGGGTGCTTCAGATAACAATTTACAACGATAAAAGATCATTTAAAAACAATAATAATAATAATCAATTTCAATTGTGATAGATATCAGCAGATATCTGATTTGATCTAAAGTGTGTAGGGTAACATTCTACAACAAAAAAGTCTTAAACATGCTTAATAATTTGTACCGCTAATGAAATGCAGTAATAAATGTAACAAATTTTGAATGGAGTTTGGTCTGACGTCCTCTCCCATACGCTCAATGTTGCTAAGCAGAGCTACAGCTAACAGTAGAATACTTACTCTATACGCAAACTTCATTTCTCTGAATATTCCTTAATCCTCATGCATGTAACTGCTTTTTACTTCTTTATATATCCCAGTAGTAGCATTAATATAGAAGCAACACTACACATACTTCCTCCACTGTTACGCTACACGTGTTTGCATTTTGTTGACACTTAACACATCCGCCTCCAGTGGAGTAAAGACAGCGCCGCGCCCCCTGGCGACTGGGAGGGGAAACGATTCAAAGGAAAAGAATGACACACCGGTGTGAGCACACTGTACATAACTGAAGTTAATCAGTTCAAATAATATATTTTAAGTATCGACAGCTTATTTTTTGAAATCTTTTTCTAATTTCCAGTTAGAAATCTACTGTATATCAATACATTCATTATCTATACTGCTTATCCTGACAAGGGTTGTGGGGGGCAAGGGACAGGTCAAAAATCTATGTTGTATTCCTAATATCATAGTGTGTCTGATGTATTCACTAGTGAGAAATTGAGGTTACAAGCTGCTGTGTAGACACACACAGATTCAGTAAAAACAAATCGCCCCGCTCAAAATACATGACACACTTGGAAATGAACAAAACTAGGCTTTCTTGTTGTTTCCTCACTTCATGCGGTCCCGACTCTGTGTTTATAATCCGCATTGAATAATTCATCATCTGGCAGCTTGAGTGCACATAGCACACGTGTAGAAAAGGGATGGCACCAAAAGTAAACTTATACTATATATTACACAACAAAGTGAGAAATAAAATCATGTCTATATTTAAGTCTTTTATTGAAACAGTTGGCTGTTGCTGATGCAGTGACTGGAGGTAAGTTATACTGTCATGAATGTTTCAGAGCACAAAGTCCAGTGTTGATGATTTTTATTTAAAAGACAAAAAAATGTGATAACCAGCTACACTTGTAGCATCTCACACTACCAGAAAAAAAAACAACCCACAAAGTTGGTTACAGTGCAAAACCCTCTCCTTTTCACCTCAAGGTTTTGTGCCAAATGTCAAAACAGGGCACCACGTGCAACCGTACATATTTCTGGCCCCCTGTCGAGCACTCAAGACAGCCATAGACAGTTTCACGTTTCAAGTTGCCCATGCCACACAGCACACAGGGCCCTTTGGGGATGTTGTGTTTGAGGAGGTTGACCCGTGTGTGAGAACTTTCCCTCAGGTAGGCGGTGGACACATCTGTCATGCTGGCGGCTTTCTCATAGTAGTCAGTCACCATGTCGTCTATGTAGGTGTCAGAGTGGGTGAGCTCCTCAAATGTTCTGTCATCTACACAGGAGGCAGACAGAGTCAAGTGGCAAAAGTATAGTGAAGGGTGCATTTATTATGCAGCAGAGGTCATCACCATACCTGCTCTAAAGGGGTTTCCATAGATGATCCCAGACAGGAATCGGCGTAGTCGACCCATGGAGAAGTGATCAATAAAACCACCGAGCTGCTCCCTGATCTGCTCTCGCTCAAATCCACCCTGAGACTCTGGGGTTACACAGATATCTGGGGGGGGGAATTAAGTTCAGAAAACCATGTAAATGTAGACTTTCTTAAAAGCCAGATCACGTTAACTCTAGGGCAGTTACTGCCAGCTGTGAAAATGAAGATGTCTTGTTATTCAAGGCTACAGGTTATGGCTGCAAGAACTGGTTTATTTACTTTGTTTTATTTATTTATTTTTTAATTAATCTGCAGACTAGTTTTGCATTTAATCATTTGGTCTATGCCAGTTGTATCCAAGTGTGAACCCATAACCTTGGCCTTATTAGCACCACTCTAACTAATCACCCTGTTTTAAATTTTAAACAGGGTCAGAACAAACAACAGTGGAAGAACCTTGGCCTGTTCAGTCAGGTGTAATCACCTTACAGGTTAATGCTTGTTCAAGGGGGATTTGTTGGGTTTTCCTCTATAATAATAGTGATAATAGTAAGGTCTAGAGTAAGGTCTTACTTTATCCTGACATAACTTTTGTTGTGAGTTGACGCTATACAAATAAAATTTGACTTGAATTGTTTATGCAACTCAAGTAGTGGGTGACTGTTGGCTTAATGTCACCTATTATGCAATGTTATGAACAACTTAAACCCATTGATAGAAGTTAGTGTTACTTGCATTGCACATTAAACCCAACCTCAGGTAGAACACAAGCTCCAACCACAAAGGGACTTTAAGTCTTAGACTTCTGACCTGAAGTCACACACCTTTTCCATTAGGCCACGTGGTCTCATGCGCAACTTTCAGAGGACCCATGGTTCAGCTGCACTGCTGATAAGCTCAAATAATGACATATGGTGTGATGCACTGTGATGTATTTGGTGTGGGACTTTGCCTTTGGACCAGCATTCCATTATAGATAAAGCACTGATCGAATTTAGTGTTTTTTTTGTTTGTTTTTTTGGTGAAATCAGTTTGAGAGAAAATGAAAATGTGTGATAATAAAGTTATCAATTTCACTTGACAGTTAAATAAAAATCAGTTGTCAGCTAATGACAGTGGGAGTGGGATTTACAGTTGTGTTCAAAATAATAGCAGTGCGTTTAAATAAGTGAGTAAAGCTCAAAATCCTTATAATAGCTTTTATTCCCATACACGCAAATGGGAACACTGCACATTCTATTGCAAATCAAAACATGAAGAAAGATGTATCAAATTTGTTATTACTTTACAGAAAGTACAGGAATATTCAAAAGAAGTAAGTCTGCATTTTTCTTTACAAACTCAAACATTTACTGTATAAACTGAAAAATGCTTGAAGATTTAGCTTTCCTGTGAATCACTGAACTAATATTTAGTTGTATAACCACTATTTCTGAGAACTGCTTCACATCTGTGTTGCATAGAGTCGACCAACTTCTGGCACCTGTGGACAGGTATTCCAGCCCAGGACAATTGCACTACATTCCACAATTCCTCTGCATTTCTTGGTTTTGCCTCAGAAACAACATTTTTGATGTCACCCCACAAGTTTTCTATTGGATTAAGGTCCGGGGATTGGGCTGGCCACTCCATAACGTTAATCTTGTTGGTCTGGAACCAAGATGCTGCTTGCTTGGTGTGCTTAGGGTCGCTGTCTTGTTGAAACACCCATTTCAAGGGCATTTCCTCTTCGGCATAAGGCAACATGACCCCTTCAAGTATTTTTATGTATTCAAACTGATCCATGATCCCTGGTATGCAATAAATAGGCCCAATACCACAGTATGAGAAACATCCCCATATCATGATGCTTGTGCCACCACCCTTCACAGTGTACTGTGGCTTGAATTCAGTGTTTGGGGGTCGTCTGACAAACTGTCTGTGGCCCCTAGACCCAAAAAGAACAATCTTGCTTTCTTTAGTCCACAAAATGTTATGCCATTTCTCTTTAGGCCAGTCAGTGTGCTCTTTGGCAAATCGTAACCTCTTCATGGGACTTTGGAGGGGCTTCTTGCCAATAGCTTGGCTTCACATAGGCATTTTGTAATTGTTACAGTACTCACAGGTAACTTTAGACCTTCTTTGATCACTCTGGAGCTGATCATTGGCTTTGCCATTTTGGCTATTCTTCAGTCCATTCGAATGGTAGTTTTCTCATTTTCTTCCATGTCATTCTGGTTTTGGTTGCCATTTTAAAGCATTTGAAGTCATTTCAGCTGAGCAGCATATCATTTTATGCACTTCATTATATGTTTTCCCCTCTCCAATCAGCTTTTTAATCAAAGTATGCTGTTCTTCTGAACAATGTCTGGAACGAGCCATTTTACTCAGATTTTCAGAGAGAAATGCAATATAACCAGCACATACAACATTTGCTGCCTTCATCCTTAAATAAGGGCCACCAGTTTGACACCTGTTTATTCACAGAATGAATGACCTCACTAATTGAACTCCACACTGCTATTATTTTGAACACCCCCCTTTCAATTAATGATTCAGTTATACAGAATCAGCAGCATGCATGTCATGACTGCTGGGTCTGTTGGTTTTCTATTACTCTACTACACCTAATGGTAAATTATTTGCCATGTAGAAATATAATTTCTATCAAAAACAGTGATTGATCTGGTTAGTGATGTTGGACTGCTATTATTTTGAACACAACTGTAGGTCAACATTTTCAAAGTCTGTAAAGCATTCAAGGTGCTCATGTGTTGGTGATTAGATGACACCACAATTCAAGTGGAAAAAAAAGTTTTAGGTTTCAAACTGTATATATTGTTAGAATTCCTTCCATTTCATTTACGAATGCCTGCTATGAAGATTTGAATGCTGACAAGCCTCAGATGTTAACCACAGGTTTCATGTGGGACACAGCTTTTAACCATGAAGAGATTAAAACTTTTAATTTTCTAAAAAGAAAAAAAACACTATTATCCTTTAAGCGTGGAGACTTAATTCATCCCAGTAAGTTTGTGTCTCTACATTGTAATTCCTTGTATGAGTAAATGCATGATGAGAATTTGTGTAGGTAGCCTTCTTACCAAGCCGCCCATCCAGACGAACAAACAGCTCACAGACACTGAAGGCAATGGTGGTGTGAGCTGGGATGACAATGGCCTTGTCTCGACCTTTAGGGTTTCTGTCGTCGTCGATCTGAAACTGCAGCAGAGCAGTGTCAGGTGGTGCAGTAGGTAAAAAAGATAAATGGCTGATAAGATGTGAGTCTAGTGAGTTGAAGATGCTGCATTTTGAGATCCAATCTTTAATTTGTAATGATAGATATTTTAAGTATGGCTGTAATTATTGTTTAATCTGCAGATTGCGTTTTCTAATCATTTGGCCAATAAAAGATCAGAAAATAGTGGGAAAATATATGTTTCCAGAGCCCATATTCCCATTTTTTGGTGGCATGTTTTTCCAGACCTACAAAATTCAATATTTTACAAAAATCAACAAATATTCACATTTAAGAAGTTGATCCCATGTATTTTTTTTTTCTTAAAAACAGACCATATAGTTTTTTTCACTTATTTGTCCAACTTGCTTCTACTATTTCCAAGAAACAACGTTTGTGGTTTCAGAAGAATAAAGTTATGAGTACTGTTCATCTCCAGGGACATAAACCAGTTGTGGGTGTGTGTGTGTTTACCCGCATGGTGGTCCCTCTCATCCCAGCGTGGACAGTCAGAGAGCACTGGCGTGTGGTGCGGATGCTCTCCACAACAACACAGAGAGCGCTTCGTCTGCTCTCTTTAGATTGACGAACTAGGCAGTGATCCAAGTCCACTTTCCTGAAAGACCAAAAAATGAAATCCAATAGTATATTTGCAGTCCACTTTTTAGTTTAATTTATCATTTGGTTGTGTATTCTTAACCAATATTTCCAACATGCAGACCTTTACATTTTATAGCTGTTAATATCAGACATTATTTATTTTCTGCCTTGCATTGTCCTTTTACATGTAGCTCCTCTATGTGTACTAGGGTAGAGTTAACAAGATCATTTATTCATCCTTACAGGGAATCCCTCTTCTCATGTTCCCTCTGTCACAAGGAGGTCAGATATCAACGTATTATTGTTGTTCAGATGAAAACAAGCATATACAGTGCCTTGCAAAAGTATTCGGCCCCCTTGAACTTTGCGACCTTTTGCCACATTTCAAGCTTCAAACATAAAGATATAAAACTGTAATTTTTTGTGAAGAATCAACAACAAGTGGGACACAATCATGAAGTGGAACGAAATTTATTGGATATTTCAAACGTTTTTAACAAATAAAACACTGAAAAATTGGGCGTGCAAAATTATTCAGCCCCTTTACTTTCAGTGCAGCAAACTCTCTCCAGAAGTTCAGTGAGGATCTCTGAATGATCCAATGTTGACCTAAATGACTAATGATGATAAATAGAATCCACCTGTGTGTAATCAAGTCTCAGTATAAATGCACCTGCACTGTGATAGTCTCAGAGGTCCGTTTAAAGCACAGAGAGCATCATGAAGAACAAGGAACACACCAGGCAGGTCCGAGATACTGTTGTAGAGAAGTTTAAAGCCGGATTTGGATACAAAAAGATTTCCCAAGCTTTAAACATCCCAAGGAGCACTGTGCAAGCAATAATGTTGAAATGGAAGGAGTATCAGACCACTGCAAATCCACCAAGACCTGGCCGTCCCTCTAAACCTTCAGCTCATACAAGGAGAAGACTGATCAGAGATGCAGCCAAGAGGCCCATGATCACTCTGGATGAACTGCAGAGATCTACAGCGGAGGTGGGAGACTCTGTCCATAGGACAACAATCAGTCGTATACTGCACAAATCTGCCTTTATGGAAGAGTGGCAAGAAGAAAGCCATTTCTTAAAGATATCCATAAAAAGTGTCGTTTAAAGTTTGCCACAAGCCACCTGGGAGACACACCAAACATGTGGAAGAAGGTGCTCTGGTCAGATGAAACCAAAATCAAACTTTTTGGCAACAATGCAAAACGTTATGTTTGGCGTAAAAGCAACACAGCTCATCACCCTGAACACACCATCCCCACTGTCAAACATGGTGGTGGCAGCATCATGGTTTGGGCCTGCTTTTCTTCAGCAGGGACAGGGAAGATGGTTAAAATTGATGGGAAGATGGATGGAGCCAAATACAGGACCATTCTGGAAGGAAACCTGATGGAGTCTGCAAAAGTCAACATTGGATCATTCAGAGATCCTCACTGAACTTCTGGAGAGCGTTTGCTGCACTGAAAGTAAAGGGGCTGAATAATTTTTCACGCCCAATTTTTCAGTTTTTTATTTGTTAAAAAAGTTTGAAATATCCAATAAATTTCGTTCCACTTCATGATTGTGTCCCACTTGTTGTTGATTCTTCACAAAAAATTACAGTTTTATATCTTTATGTTTGAAGCCTGAAATGTGGCAAAAGGTCGCAACGTTCAAGGGGGCCGAATACTTTCGCAAGGCACTGTAGGTACTTTAAATATCATATTTACCAAGAGAAAAATATACTTTGGATAAAAAGCAGCTTTTGTCTACACCAGTCCAAAGTTTGAACACACATTCCCATTCAGTTCAGTGGGAAAATGTGTCCAAACCTTTGACTGGTGGTGTTTGTCAGAAAACAGATCTTTTAACAAAACATTTTCTTAATGTCACTTCATTGAATCAGTTTTAAGTAATACTATGATTATGTTGGTGCTTTGACACCCAGCAGATGTGAAGTGTGCACACTGTGGAGCTGGGATACCTGGAGCTGAGCTCCCGCAGTAACGTGGGCACCTCCAGCTCGTGTTTGGTCACGATGCCAAAGGAGGCTCTGATGGCCACAGAGTCCGAGCCGCTGATGTTGACCCCCACATCGATGATGTGGTTTCCCAGTCGGCCATTTAGTGCTACATCAGATTTGTCCTCATAGTTGAGGAGCTGATAAGAGGAGACCCCTGGTTAAAAAAATACAGAATTTAATTAATTTAAGCAGGGAAATATTAACTGGCAACATGTACCCAAGTGTTAATTGTGAAAGCAGTTTCATTTTCAGTTTCTTTGTGCCTCTACTCTTCTACAATTTAGAAGAACATATTGTACTTTTTACTCCATTACATTTATTTGACAATAGCTCTCTACGTTTCCACTTAAGTTTCCTCTTGCTCAGACCAACTTAATAGTGCACACAGTCGCACCTGGAACAAGCTGCTACTGTATGCAGTATAATAGCAGAATATACTCAAATACTGTGGAATACTTAAAGAGAAAATTGTATATTAGCTGTTAAAGGTCTAAAGCCAACCACACATACATGTTTCATTCCTGTACCTGCTGTGATCTCCTTCTCCCCTACCAGGATGTCTTTCAGTGAGAAAGGGGTCGAGGCGTATTTGTGCTTCTTCCAGAAATGTCTCTTCCTCTTTTTGGTAACCAAGCTGAGGGGCTGGTAGCGGTCGGCCTCGCTCAGGCTCGGGACAGGGATCAGCCTCCCTGTGTTTCCAACCTGTTTCACAAAGTTCTTAGTGGCTGTGGCAAACATTTCCAAAAGTACGTGTGTCAAATCACATACAAAACATGTTCCTCTACAGACTTCAATGTCACATACACTGTCTGGCCCATTTAATGGTCTTGTTTGCTGTATCTTACTCTTCAGAATGGAGACGCTAATTCGGGAGTGCTCTCTCAGACTTGTGAAATGTTAAATAATGCAGGTAGTGTGTAAGAAAATACGGGACAAGGTGTCCGTTAACCTGATAGTTCACTGTAGGCCTGCAGCTTCCTGTCACATGATAAATGAGCTGGAGAAACAAATTATAGTATCTATGCACATTTAACCAGGACATAAGACATTTTAAGCAGCTTATGTGTATTTGAAAAATTTGGTTTCTCAACAGCCAAAAACTGTTTCACAGTAAAAAATCTTGCTATCTCCAGGAAAATACACTCAAGGAAATGTTACTCGCCTGACAGAAGTCAGAGTTGGTGTCATACATACAGTCTGTGGCAAATACTTTAAAGCTTAAACAATAAAATACCTTAATTCAACTTTTGGAAAAATGTCAGTATCAAAATGATCTTCACATTTTCCCCAAAACAGACTTTGAGTGAATAAGTCTAAACATTTAGCACACACACACACACACAACACAATGGCCATCTTTCACAGTAAAATCTTTTGGCAAACCTTTGCTTCTGGGTCAAAAATGGATAGAAACCTCAAAAACACTGTATCCATTTATTTAGATATTCCAAAACAAACAAACAAACAAAAAAAATCAGATATACTGTGACTGTATTGTCACTTTGCACAAAGACGTAATTGACACATTACATTTGAAGGTAGCTCAGATTCAACAGTGAGTAAAAAGAAGAATATGGCATTGATGTAGAAGTATATGTGTTTTATGTTTTGGAAGTGTAAACAGTACACAATTTAATTTTACATACAGAGGAGACACAATCACAGTTCATTGCTGTTAATTATGGCACATTATCTGCTTTAACATGACAGTTATTAAAATAGATATATGTTTACAATTCTAACTACAGTTATACATGTTAGAATATTGGGAGGTTTTTTTTTTTTGCCCACAGTTCTACAATTTTATGATTGTCTCATCTTACATAGCCAGTGTCATAAAATGCATTTTAGATGGAGATTTTGGAGGTATGAAGTTTTTTCAAGCAGAATAAACAGACTTGTTAAAATCAACACGTTAATATTGTAGCACTGGGGCAGAGAGACCCTTGGCAGGATCCCCCATAATGCCCCTCTGTGTGGGATGTATTTAGTTCAGTGTTGGGGGGTGTTGTTGCGTGTGTCTGTGTTCTGTTGTTCTGATGCTTTTGCTACGGGGAGAAAAAAGAGAAAAAAGCAACTTCTGTCTCCAGCTCCTTCCTCAAGCTAGTCTCCGCTACAATATAGTCCTCTTAAGGTATGGATTGACCAGCACTGCAACATCAGGGCAAGTGACCGAGTCTTTTGGAAATATTCTATGCTTTTTTTTTTTTAAATAATGGATGAGAAAAAAAAAAACTGTCTTTGGTCACAAATCAAATGCACAATGTACACTGAGGAGTCAGTTATTGGAGATATGCTCAACATCATTGCACTGAAAAAGTCAGCAGTGGATTTAAAGGGGTACTCTAGCAATTTAGTATGCTTTAATAATTTACAGTTTGTGAAATGAATGCAATTGGTCAATCCATACTTCACTCTACCTCTATCTATAAATTTGACTAGAATCAAAAGCTACAATGCTTGTTACTGCTACTCTGCTAAGCTAGTTTATGATTAGGGTTAGCTTCATGCTTGGCTGTAGCTTCTAGTCACTTGTTCAACAGATTTACAACATAATTTTAAAACATACAATCATATCAAGATAAAAGTATGGGGAAAAAACAAGTTGGTGGAATGCCCCTTTCTAAATAGCTCCTGACATACTCTGAGTAACACTGGATTTATTTAAACTTCTATTTTAAACTAGCATGACCACTTAGAAACACTTTTGTATAGTTATATCTTTAAAAAATAAAATCTCTCAATTCTTGCCCCTGTTCCATATCATCATACACACACATACATATACATAAAAAAATTCCCCACTCTCCCCCCCACTTTGGGGCAGTCTTGTATTCCTTCCTTCAAGCTCGGGTCCTCTACCAGAGGCCTGGGAGCTTGAGGGCCCTGCGCAGTATCTTAGCTGTTCCTAGGACTGCACTCTTCTGGACAGAGATCTCAGATGTTGTTCCTGGGATCTGTCAGAGCCACTCTCCCAGTTTGGGGGTCACAGCCCCCAATGTTCCTATTACCACAGGGACCGCTTGTGCCTTCACATTCCACATCTTTTCTAGCTCTTCTTTCAGCCCTTGGTATTTCTCAAGCTTCTTGTGTTCCTTCTTCCTGATGTTGCTATCGCTTGGGATTGCTACATCTATCACTACGGCCTTCTTC